GAGAGAGAGAGAGAGAGAGAGAGAGAGAGAGAGAGAGAAATCAGTAATGAATGAGACTGGCTGCCTCCTGCACTCCCCACATTGGAGATAGAGCCCACAACCCGGACATGTGCTCTAACTGGGAATTGAACCTGACCTCCTGGTGCAGGTGGATGTTCACTACAGAGCCATGCTGGCCAGGAAGTATTTCTTAATTCTCTGTGAAATTCTGTTATAATCTCTCTATATTTTATTAGAACTGTTAAATACAAAACAAAAATGAAAATCCAACAAAATTATCATTATCATTATTGTTATGTATTTTGACTTTTTTTTTTTTTTTTAAATACAAAACAAAAATGAAAATCCAACAAAATTATTATCATTATTGTTATGTATTTTGACTTTTTTTTGTTGTTGCAGTTTTTAGATGCATTGGAATTATCTCAAAGTCCTACATTATTGCAGTTGATGACAGAACTTCTTTGTCGAGAACAACAACACATTATGGAAGATTTATTTCAATCCACTTTCAAAAAGATTGCCAGAAAGTAAGTCATTCTATTATGGTCTGGGATGCCAGGAACCATATACATTATGTTTCTGAGGAAAATTTATCTTCTCTGTTTCAAAAAAAAGTTGAGTGACAATTACACTCAACTCTTACAACTAAATTTTATTTTGTTTTTCATAAGAAATAAAAAGATTTTTATCTTGACAGTTTCAAACATACTCAGAGTTGAAAGTAAAACTATGAATGATTCTTCAGATTAAACAAGCATCAGCATTTCCTAGCTTCATCACCCCTCTTATGCCTGGGTTCTTTATTCCGCACGTTTTTGAGATTCATCCATGATGTAGCATGAATTAGTAAGTTATTTCTTTTTATTAGCTTTAAAAAAAATTAAATGGCATTTCTAAATAACCTTTGCATCAAAAAAGAAATAAGGGAAATCAAATCATATTTTGATCTGAATAGATAAGGCATATCCAAATATCTGCAGTGCAGCAAAAGCAGGGCTTAAAGGAGAATATATGTCTTTTAATGCCTATATGAAAAAATAAGAAAGATCCTGAATTCACAAACTAAACTTTCACATTAAAATCTAAAAATAAAACTTAAAATGAAGGCAAACTGAAGGAAAAGAATAATAAAGATTAGAGTGGCCCTGACTGGTTTGGCTCAGTGGATAGAGCGTCGGCCTGCGGACTGAAGGGTCCTGGGTTCGATTCCAGTAGACACTGGGGGGGAGGGGGGGCCAGAGGATTGTCAAGGGCGAGGAAGAAAAAAAAGGACACATATGTAATACCCTTTGTAATACTTTAAGCAATAAAAAAACAAACAAACAAACAAAACAAAACAAAACAAAAAAAAAGATTAGAGTGAAAATTAATGAAATTGAAATCAGAGAAATGGTGAAGAAAAATAATGAAACTAATAATTGTTCTTTGAAATGAAACAGTCATCACTGAGAACCACCTGAAGACTAAACAGAATTTCTGTTACTAAGGTTATAAAAAAGAAGCCATGTTGAGACTGGTAGGTGGGAGGGAGTCAAAACAAAACAAAAAAAAAGATTAGAGTGAAAATTAATGAAATTGAAATCAGAGAAATGGTGAAGAAAAATAATGAAACTAGTAATTGTTCTTTGAAATGAAACAGTCATCACTGAGAACCACCTGAAGACTAAACAGAATTTCTGTTACTAAGGATATAAAGAAGAAGCCATGTTGAGACTGGTAGGTGGGAGGGAGATATGAAATGGGCAGGTCCCACACCTATGGTGTGATGGTTAAGAAACAGGAGGGGTATTTCTGCTGAGGAGGTCCCCCGGAGTGGGGGTTCCAGCCCCACACTCAGTTCTCCAACCCAGGGTGTCATTGCTGAGGAGTCCCCATAATATCTGGCTCTGAAAACCAGTGGGATTGCATTCAAGAAAGACTAAGGACTTATGGGAGGCTAAGACGTAGGTCTCAAGGAGACCATGCAGAGTGGTGGGAGTATTTCGGGAGGTACTAAATTAACTAACTTCAGGGTGAGGGCTGGAGGGGAGGGGTAAGAGCAGTTCTCTCTGGAGACAAAAGCATTGGCGCCATTGTTTCTTTGGAGAGCTATCCTCCCACCCAGCTGTGCTGGTACAGGCAGGCACTAAATCTCAGCTCTCCATTAACCTTGCTGACACTGTTCACCCTGCCCCGGTGATTTCCTGACACCCTGCCCAGCCCATATTGTTCGCCTGGCCGGAGCCTTTTCCACCGTCTCCTTCATGCAAGTGGCCTGCCTTAGCTCTGCACACTTCCCCTAAACCTCACGGTCGAAAAACCCAAACAAGCATCCACTGGCATTGTAACTTGCTAAGCAGCCAAAGCCCAGCACAAGGAGCAGTCGCCCTCAGTTTGCATTGTAACTCCCATCACGTGGCCCCAACCCTGGCATAGCAACAGCCAGTCTGGGTCATTAACGAAGCTTCAGCAAAGCAGCCACAAGCCTGGCACAAGTGGCAGCTGGCCTCCACTCACATCATGGTGCCCATCAAAAGGGCCCAAGCCCAGCACAAGCGACAGCGATCTGGGTTGCCTGAGTAGCCTCCATAGGCACCTCCAAGACAAGGAAGAGCAGCAACCAACTGCAGATGACTCTGTAGCTCCTACCAAAAGGCTCCAGCAGTGGGTGACCTTGACCTGCACTGAAGCACCTCCCAAGAGGCTCTAGAATGAGCACATGCAGTGGCCCTCTTCAGACCACACCAGGGCGCCACCCAACCAGCTTTACCAATGACATACCTGAAAGGCAGACTTGATGGCACCAGAGCACGGCTAAAGCCATTGCTATTCTGTCGGGTCAGTCTCCAAACAACTGCTCATCTGCTCTAGTTACAACCAGCCCTGAACGTGGTCACCCTGAGATTCAACCCAACTTACTGATGTGCCAACGGCAATTGAGGCTCAACTACAACAGGAGGAAACAGACCCACATAGCAGACACCCCTAGAGCACCTGGCAGGTGACCAGGGAGAATGCACTACTTGGCCTCACAAGACATCCTCTCCATAAGGCCACTTTGTCAAGACTGGGAGACATAGCAGAACTACCAAAAAATAGAAATAGTCATGGACTCAGCTCAAAATGAAGAGATAGAAATTTGTATCTAATGAAAGAATAGGACAAATCTTCAGAAAAAGAACTGAACTATTAGATACAGAGGTCAAAATAATGGTAATAAGGATACCATAAACAACTGGGACTCCATCAAACTAAAAAGTTTTTGCACAGCAAAGGAAACCATCAACAAAACAAAATGACAACCTACTGAATGGCAGAAGAGACTCACCAATGATGCATCTCATAAGAAGTTAGTATCTAAATTTTATAAAGAATGCATACAACTGAACTCCAAAAAAACCCCCAAAACAGTCTAATTTAAAAATGGGCAGAGGACAGGAATAGACATTTCTCCAAAGAGGTCATACAGATGGCCAATAGACATGAAAACATGCTGAATGTCACTAATAATCAAAAAAATGCAAATTCACTCCACAGTGAGATTTCACTTTACACCTGTCAGAATTGCTATAATCAATAAATCAACAAACAAGTGTTAGCAAGTATGTGGAGAAGGTAATAAGGATACCATAAACAACTGGGACTCCATCAAACTAAAAAGGTTTTGCACAGCAAAGGAAACCATCAACAAAACAAGATGACAACCTACTGAATGGCAGAAGAGACTCACCAATGATGCATCTCATAAGAAGTTAGTATCTAAATTTTATAAAGAATGCATACAACTGAACTCCAAAAAAACCCCCAAAACAGTCTAATTTAAAAATGGGCAGAGGACATGAATAGACATTTCTCCAAAGAGGACATACAGATAGCCAATAGACAGGAAAACATGCTGAATGTCACTAATCATCAAAGAAATGCAAATTCACTTCACAGTGAGATTTCACTTTACACCTGTCAGAATTGCTATAATCAATAAATTAACAAACAAGTGTTAGCGAGTATGTGGAGAAAAGCAAACCCTCATGCATTTTTGGTAGGAATGCAAATTTGTGCAGCCACTATGGACAACAGTGTGGAAGTTCATCAAAATTTAAAAATGGAACTGCCTTATGACCCAGCAATTCCACTTTTGTGTATATATCTATAGAAACCAAAAACATTAATTTGAAAGAATATATACATCCTTATGTTCATAGCATATATACACCCCTATGTTCATAGCAGCATTATTTACATTAGCCATGAAATAGACACAATCCAAGTGCCTATCAATAGAATATCAGTGCAATATTACTAAGCCATAAAAAATGAAATATTACCATTTGCAACAACATGGATGGACCTGGAAGGTATTATAGTAAGTGAAATAAGTTAGACAGATAAAGACCAATACCATGTGATTTCACTTATATGTGGAATCTAAAGAGCAAAATAAGCTAACAAAATTGAAACGGACTTATAGATATACAGGAAACAGACTGATCTTTGCCACAGAGTGTGGGGGTTTCGAGGACTGCATGAAGAGGTATAGGGATTAACTACAAGTGGGGAGAGGAACCAAGATGGCGGCATAGCTGTATGTTACCCGTTTCAGCTGCTCGTCCTTATCTGGTCCGGGACAAAGCACCAACACGTCCGTCTAAGCCTCCGCCATTTTTTCTTCCTCCTTGGCCCATTTTTTAAATCAATTTTTTTTTGTATGGTTTGGATGTTTTAGGGCTGTTCATCCCTACTGTGCTCAATATAGGAAGAGCCTCAAGAGAATTTAAGTCTAAGACAGTGACCAAATGAATATAACAAAATCCCATGTTGCAACTAGTAGTTACCTGCAACCTTAAAATGTTATGATTGAATTGCCTTCTGAATCTAATATTTTTGCTCTGATTCATATCTAACTTTTGAGCATTGGGATTTTAGGATTGGAAAGGATTGTAATGTTTGTTTACTCCTAACCTCTTATTTTTATAGGTGAAGAAACTAACTCTGTAGTCTTAATTTTATAGATTTATAGATAAATCCTTATAGGAGATCATTCAAATATCTGATTTCCAACATTAGAAAATAAAGGGCCAGCTAAATATATCTCTATATAGCAAATAGGAATGGTATTTCATTATGAGGAAGAGACTAGAATTTTAAAATCATAATTCATGAGTTTTAGATTCTGTAAATGTGATCATCTTTAGGTCTAGACTTTCTCATATTCTTTTA